GTCCCCCCTGCGTCCGATTAGCTGCTCCTCCATACCAGCAGGCCTTCAGGCACTGTGGGCAGCCGCCTGGCAGGTCGCTAGTCCCCGCCTGGCCAGGCCCTCATGGAGTGCCCTGCTTTGCAGCGCTGGCACAGACTACTGCTTTGGCCCGTGGAGGACTCCCCAGTGTGAGAAGGGCATTGGTCATGACTTGGGAGACCTGGTTCTGGTCCCACCCCAGTTTTGCAGCCCCTGCAGGTTCAGCCCAGTTTTGAACCCCTCTCTGGCTCAGGCTCTGCATTTATGGAATGAGGGGATCACTGGACTTCTGATTTTCTAACCGAATCCTGGGGGCCCAGAGTGTCATGGGGTGTGGAGGGCCCGGCCGGTAGAACTCCACTTTGATCTTTTGTAGGTAATTAACTTGTGCTCAAAGAAAACTCTTTTTTTTCCAGACACAGAGAGAGACATTAGAGACAGAAAATGAGAAATCATCCCCCATGGGGGATGGTCACGCTGCAATCCCTTCTCCTCCATTCTCCTCTCGGGATCTTGGGCACACACGCACACGCACCCGGCGTGAGTTTTAAGCCACCGGGTCCGGGTTGCGAACTGCGGTCAACTACGTGGGAGTCCAGCGACATAGCCATTACGCTAACTGCTGTTTCCCAGAAAACTCTTTTTGAAACCCACAGCACTCAGTAGATCTGTTGAGTAGGTGCCCGTGTGGGCGTGTCCAGTGCTCTGGTGAGAGGGTTGGTTACTGCAGGCTTACCGTCCCACCCTGGGCCGGAGCCAGGCGCGCTGTCCTCCAGGCAGCCGTGCGGAGACCAGGGAGGCAAAGGCTTGACCTCTCTGCTGGTTCTGCCTCGTCTTCCCTGTGCCCTCGGGCCAGCCTCTGTCTGTGAGCCCATGCCCTCACCCATGGGGGATAGGGGATCATGCACTCCAAAGCTTATTGAGGCAATCCAGGCCGCCCTCTGAAGAGTCTGTGTCCCTGAGCGAGTGCGGAGCAAGTGCCGGCTGCCGGCCCCACCCCACGCTGATGCCTCGCGCCTTGTTTCAGTTCTCCAAGTCCATGGTGCTAGACGTGTACAGCGACTATGTCAACAACTTCACCAGCGCCATGTCCATCATCAAGAAGGCCTGTCTCACCAAGCCCGCCTTCCTCGAATTCCTCAAGGTGGGCCTCCAGGGTGGGCTGGAGTGCCCTTCACCTGGGCATTGGCCGGGGCGCAGGAGGCTTGCTGGGGGTCGGGGAGCTTTTGGTCCCAGCTCCAGGGATCACATCATGGCTTTGGCCCAAACACCTCCCTTCTTTCCTTTGGGTCCCCCAGCCCCATGGGAAGAAAATCATTCCCTCCTGTTCCTCACCGGAGGGTGGTAGAGTTAGAGTGTCCATCAGCTGCTTGGGATCCTAGAGCTTTGATAGGTGGGCGGGGAGACCCCTTACTTCCTGTAGCTGTGGGTGCCGGAGGGGCCAGATCTAGCGTCAGGGTCAGCTTGGCAGTGCTGGGCCGTCCTGATCTGCTGTGGCTCAGGGAGTTGCTGAGCTGGCCCCTTTCCCATCTGTGAAGGGATGAGGGGAATTCCTCAACGGGCGTCTTGGGCATCATGCGGGACAATGGAGGTGAGGACACTTGGGAAAACCCTGGAGCCCCCGGCCCACAGGGAGCCTGCTGCCTAGCCGAGGATGTGGGTGGGCCCGAGTGCAGGAACCCACTTCCCCACCCAAGAGGACGGGGGCTGGGGCCTTCTATGGGGGTGCCAGCTGCCATGGGTGCTAACAGGGCTGGGTGGTGGGATGGTAGTAGGTGGGGGAGGAGGGTGTTCCAGGTGCAAGCACAGTGGGGCAGAGGCCAGCACTCTGGCAGGGGGATGGAGCCGGGCAAGTCGGGGTGGATTCTGAGAGCACTGGACACCCACTGGGGAGTCCCAGAGAAAAGGTGGAGAAGCAGCTGAGTTTGCTGCAGGCCCAGAGGCTGGGGTGTAATATTTCAGGCAATGGGCAGCCATTGAAGAGATTTGAGCTGGGCGGCTTGAAGTAGAAGCTGGTGGAGGAGTGTGGGTTGCAGGGATGAGGGCAGGGACCCAGGTCCCAGGTGTGTGGGTGGAGTGACGGAAACAGACGTAAGAGACAGGACAGTAGAGTTCCCGGCCCTGCCCTCACCCTGGCCTGGCACTGTCTGCTTTTTGCTTAAGTGAAGGGGATAGTATCTTGTCCGCTTCTACAAGTCTGACCTCTTAAATAAAGTGCTGAGTTTCCCAACTAGGCCTTCAGCTCAGACCGTACAGTGACTGGTCTAGTCTCCCAGGGGTGTGGGGCCACGCGGGGTCACTGGTGGTGGGAGGGTTCCCTGGCTGCAGAACTGGGCCCTCTGCTCCTTCCCACTCTTCTCTCAGACCCAGAGGCCAAGCAGGGGCCTGGGGCCTGGGGGATGAGCCGGGGACGGGAGCGTGTCGGACCCCAGAGCCCTGGGCCCTCTCTGCAGAGGGTCAGCGAACGAGGTGACCTTGTGTCTGACAGCGGCGGCAGGTGTGCAGCCCAGACCGCGTCACCCTCTACGGGCTGATGGTGAAGCCCATCCAGAGGTTCCCGCAGTTCATCCTCCTGCTTCAGGTACCACCTGGGACTCCAGCAACCCTGAGCAGGCCATGGGGTGGCTGTGGCTGGGTGGGAGGGCGGCTCTCATCCGTGGTCCGCAGCCTGGCACCTGCATGGGGCTCCGGCCTCATCTTCCCCCACGGCTAGAGTGGAGCCCATAGCAATTCCTGGCTCTTCTTGCTCCTACCCGGAACACTGCGTGATGACACGTAGCATGAGCTTGGTTGGGGGGTGGGAGTGAAGGCATGCTGCCCCTCCAGACCTGCAGGGCTCCCGGCGTGGAGGTGCCCAGATAGCACGCTGACCTTGGCCAGTTCAGGCTGCAGCTTCAGAATGGGCTTGGGGTGCCTGAGAGCCTCAGCATCACATGGGAACCCAGTTCCCAGGGTCCCCCGTCGGATGACCTTTCACCTGGGAGCCCGAGGGCCTGGTGGCGTTTTCCCCCTCAGAGCTGCCCGGCCGTAGGAGCCGGCTCTATTGTGCCATTACCGTCAGCCCATTTCCTTGGACTCGGTTCACGCGTGTCCCTCCTTTGTCATCACGCTAACCATTTCAAGTGTGAGCTCAGAGGCGGCAAGCGCCTTCACCCCGTTATCCAGCCGTCACTACCGTCCACCCCAGAACTTTCTCGGCTTCCCAGACCGAACGGGTGTGGACCCGTTCAACAGCGGCTCTCCAGCTCCCCGCCCCGCGCCTGGTGCCCACTGTCCTACCCTGGTTGATTTTGACCCTCAACCCCATAAGTGGGCCATACAGTATTTATCTTTTTGAACCTGGCTTATTTTTACTTAACATGGTGTCCTCAGGATTTCTCACACTGTCGCAAGTGTCAGAACTTCCTCCCCCTTAGGGTTGAATAATATTTCATTGTATGCATAGAGCATGTTTTATGTGTCTGCTCATCCATCAGGGGACCCTGGGGTTGCTTCCCCCTCTTAGCTAGTTTGATAACGCTGATATGAACCTGGGTGGACACACGTCTCTTCAAGACCCTGCTTTCAGTTCCCATGCATATATACCTGGAAAGATACAGACATTTTTTTAGCGTTTTTCACTCATTTCCTATTTCTTGAGACCTTACTCTGCATTTGGTCCCATCTGTTTGGCCCGTTCCAGCCTTGGGTTATGCTGGAAGTGTGGAGGGTGACACTTTAACCCCAGGCCAGAGCGGGGTCTGCTGTGGGCGGGGTTCTCCAGTGACTGTCTTGGCCCTGACAGGACATGCTGAAGAATACTCCCAGGGGCCACCCTGACAGGCTGTCGCTGCAGCTGGCCCTCACCGAGCTGGAGACGCTGGCTGAGAAGCTCAACGAGCAGAAGCGGCTGGCTGACCAGGTGGCAGAGATCCAGCAGCTGACCAAGAGCGTCAGTGACCGCAGCAGCCTCAACAAGGTGAGCGCCCTGGGCCTCCTAGCCTGGCTGGAGTGCTCTCCCTGCTCTGCAGTCTGCACCTGTCTCCTGCGGCCTTCCCGCTGTCGCCCATTAGGGGGCAGTGTTCCCTGAGGGAGGCAGTCCTCCCTTCTGCAGGCCGTGACCTGACTTTCAGGGCTGGATTCTCAACCAGACCTCACGTTCATGACTCGTCCTGTTATTTTAGGATAAAAGCTGATTTTGTTCATTAGCGTAACTGCCAGGAAAGAGTCGGGAAACGCCAGCCTCGTGTTGTGGTCAAATGAACCTGCTCCGATGTTAGTCAAGGGTTTGAATCATCCAGATTTTGCCACTGGGCTCACTGTGGCCTCAGGAAATCACCCAGCCTCTCTGACTCTCCTTCGCTCCCCACAATGAGGGTGATTTAATAGCGCCTCGGCCTCAGGGCTGCTGCAAGGGGAATAGGGAGTTGTCAAAGCAGCATTCTGAGGGTCCTTGATAGAAGGAAGATGAAAATTCAGGCCTCGTGTTGAAGTTGCGACTTATAAACATTCTATTAAAAATGTCGTGAGACCCTGGCAAGCGAGTCTAGAGAAACTCATCTTTACGGCACAAGGTCACCTCCTGGGTCGCCCATTGTAAACTGTCATCCCTGTTTCCCTGGCAGCACACGGCAGCTGTCTGTCCTGGGCATGGCAGAGTGTGGTTCTTTGGGGAAGAGACATCTCATGGGGCCATAGGGAGGTGTTCAAATCTGGAGAAAAAACTGGGAGACTCTTGGCTCTATGGGGTCTCGAAAGCAGAACTAAGGCAGTGGCTAGAAGTTCCTGGGAGGGAGATTGCAGCATCGGGAAGGGAACTTTCTAGTAGCCCGGGAAGGACTGCCAAGAGGGGCCACAGCCCTTTCCGTGTGCACCCCCCCTTTATAGCATAGAATGCTCTAGCCTGCATCACCTTCCCAACCACCCCCGCTGGGCTGCGAGGCAGGGTGGAAGGGCACCTGCATGTCCCTTGCAGTAACCCTCAGGCATCTAGCATATGAGGACTCTCTGGCCGCAGGCCAAATTCATGTTGCTCGTGTGTTTGGGGGGCCCACACTGTGGTTTTAAGGAAATGGAGATAGTTGCCAACATTTACAGATTGAGAGACAGCTTATGAAATTTCCTTGATGGCCTCTGGGAGGGCTGCATGGCAGTGGTCACCTGAGCAGCGGCTACCCATGGGCTACCCACGTTCCTCCTTTCCCCTTGATGTCACCTGCTGACCCTGAAGGCATGTGGGTTTGCTTCTCCCATTCCAGGAGAATAGAGCTGGGAAAGAAAAGACTGGCAGGGGTTGGACTTGTCCCCTGGGAAGATGTCCCCATTGAAGCTGGCTCAGGAGGGTATGACAGAGGGGGCTACCCCCACGCCCTGCCTCCAGGCAGGACTAGTCCCACATAAGGCTGCCATCTGAGGTCTCTGGAGGAAAAGGCTCAGCCTGACCACAGCCCCAACTGGTCTTTGCACGCTCCCCTCCGGCCCACCTGCAGCCCCTTTTCTGACTGGGAGGCTGTCTTGCTTCGGCCTGGGTGCCTGAGCGGCTGCAGTGGGAAGCGAGCACCTGGACAGGAAGGACAGTGTCCTGCAGCAGTTGCCCTGGAACAGCTGCCCTGTTCCCTTCCACTCTGTGCCCCTGGAGATCCAAGCAGTGGAGTGCGGTGGGCACTGGTTGGAGGTCAGGGAGGCCCGTTTGATGTCAGCCATGGGCTAAACCCTCTGAGCTTCAGTTTCCCCCTCTACCAAGTGAGAGGCGAGTTGGGTACGCGGGGGATGTCGTGCAGGGCGGCCACGTGCTGTGCTTCCCCCACCCCCAGGGCCCTCCCTGGACTGTCCCTGCCAGTTTTGAGACCTGCTCAGTGGTTTCCCTCTTACCGTCACCCAGGGAAAAGTGGAAACGAAACTGGGTGTCGCCCTGAACGGAACCATGCTGGCTATTTCAAAATAGCCTACTCAGGAGCCTCCAGAGGGGAGCTGGTGCAATATCCGGGTTTTCTTTTTCTTCTTTTTCAAATCTGCCTAAGGGCTGGGCAGTGATTGCCAGAGGCCCAGGGGACTTTCCTCTTCCCTGTTTTGGGTCACAGCATCCTTGACAACCTCCTGTGGAGGCCCGTGATGGTTTATGAGCTGGTGTTTGACTTGTCTGTGGAAAAATCGGGGGGGATCTCTGACTTAGCAGCCATGGAGGACCCCGAGGGACCCTAAGTCCTCCTGTGTGCTGGGAACAGTGGGGCCTCTGGCCGAACCATGCAGGGGCCCGTGCACGCGGCCTGACTGTTCTGTGCTGCCATCAGCAGGCGGTGGGTGTTGGCAAGGCAGGCTCTGCAGTCTGTTTCCTCCTCTGGGACGTGGGAATGGCCTCGCAGGGCCACTGAGCCAATTGAATGAAACGCCACCCTCAGTGCCTGGGCACAGTGGGCCTTTGGGACCGTATAGACTCTGGTGGGTTCTGACTTGAGAGACATGATTCTTTGGAGAACAACAGAGCATTCTCTCTGGGGGAGGCCCCAGAGTGATGGGTCCTTTCCCAGCCAGGGCGGGGAAGGCTCTGGTTGCCGTGGGGAAAGGATTTTGCTGCATACCTCCCCTTCCCCCACATCCCTCTCAGGAAAATAGGTATTTTCTCGGGGGTCCTTGGGAGGGTTGTTGGCCCCAGTGCTAGGACGAGGGCTTGGTAGCCAGCCTGAGATTGCAAATGCCCTTCGGAGTGGCGTGCCCTGCCAGCAGCCCCCAGTTCTCCTGTGGTTCGTCTCAGCTCCCGGGTGGAGGGGTGTGTATGTTCCTTTGCCTGCCCCGGCCTCGGGCTCCCTTTCTGCACTGCGGAGACTACGGGGTCTTTGGGCTGGCAATGACCACGTGGCTGCCTGGGTCTCTATGCCAATGCTGACCTTCCCTGTCCCCCTTCCCTAGCTGTTGACCTCAGGCCAGCGGCAGCTGCTTCTGTGTGAGACGTTGACAGAGACCGTGTATGGTGACCGTGGGCAGCTGATCAAGTCCAAGGAGCGCCGGGTCTTCCTGCTCAATGACATGCTGGTCTGTGCCAACATCAACTTCAAGTAAGTGTCCTGTGCCAGGGCTGGAGCTGTGGGCGTCGCCCCTCCCTGGGGCCCATCCTTCGTACCTTAGCTGGCCAACCTGCGGTGGGTCCCACAGAGCTGTTTAGGTCTCTGAGATGCCGCCTTCCTCTCCACCCTTCTCGGCCCGGCCTGGCCCGCTGTCACTGGTGCAGCTCTGGGCAGTGCCTGGAGGTCTTTGGGGGCAGCCCCCAGCCTTGGGCATACAGTTGTCCACTGTGTAGACTCATCCGTCCTGGACCCCTGCAGTGTCTGAGCAGCCGCCTGCATACAGACTGGTTTGAAATTCAGGAGATTCTCCTCGTGTCCAGCCCAGGTCTCTGCTACTTTAACTCAAGCGGCCTTTTCTCTGGCCGGCTTGCAGTGCTCAGCGTGGGTCTCTGCCCACCCCTCAGTCAGAGCATCTTCTGCCCACAGGTCTCCTGGGTCTGCTCAGGGGTTTAGCTATAGGCTGTGTCCCGGAGTGGGCCGAGGAAGGTATTTTAGAACAGAGTCGGCAAACTGGTGGCTGACGGGTCACGTTAGGTCTCCAGAGATCTGTTCGGCTCGCACATTCGGTTTGCCCAATGACTGTGCCAGTCAGATCCAACTTTCTGGGCCCACCGTGGCCGAGGGCACAGGCTGGTGCCATGCCTGCCCTTCTTCAGAGACCCCCCCGGGCTGGTTCATTCACTTAAACCCCCTGCTGGGCCTTGAAGGCCTCAGGGACTGTGACCCTTTGCCAAATGCTCCCTGAGAACGCCAGCTGTGGTCTGTCCAGCCTGGCTCCTAGGAGAAGCCCACTGTCAATATCTGACAGCACTTTGAAAGCACGGCATCACAGAAGCCACCATAGGGCAGCAGTGACCGAGATCCAGGTGGGAAGGCGGTCACCGGTCCTCACTGTGGGATGTTAAACCTCAGCCACTCCCACCTCCCAGCTGGAGTGCATGACAGCGGGGCTGGGCTGGGAGGCCGCCAGAGCCCGATGTAAACTTTGCACCTGCCGTCAGCTCGTGACTTCTGTGCTGGGCCACAGAGTGGACTTGGGGTTATCTGTGGTTCTGCGTCATGGACCCCGCAGTCATTGTCCCCGCGCCTGCCCACCCGTCTGTCCGTCCATTGGTCTGTCACATCTGTCCCGAGCCCCTCCTTGTGACAGTTCCCAGCCCCTGCTCCAGGGAGCTCGTGGCCCAGGGGGCACTCCGGCAGGAAGCCTCTCACTCACAGATGGTGTGGGCAGTGCTGTGGTTGGCCATTCACCCCTCCTTTACTCCTCCCTCTCTTCAGTACCAGAATTCGCAGGTCTCGTTTATGTCCTAGGCACTGTGCTGGTGCCAGAGAGATGACAGACCCCTCTCTGCCCTGTCTCTCAGGGGCTAGCAGTGTGCAAAGTGGGTTTCTAGTGGCCCAGTTCTGGGGACTCAACTGGGCGATTCGGGCTGAGTCAGTTCACCTAGCTGAACATCAGTGTCCTCTCCTGGGATCATGCGGGCTTCTAGCAGGGCTGCTGTGAGAATTAGAGGTGACGGGAGGCCTGGCCCAATGGGAAGGCCCTTTGTGTGGTCCCCTCTGTCAGCCCTGGCCTCTGTGGCTACGACCCTTCCCCAGCCCGGAGGTTGTCCCTTCTTCCACCTCTGATGCCCAGTGCAGTGGCCAGGCCAGGGGGCCCAGCCCATAGGAGTCGCTCGGTCACAGTAACAAGTCCTAGCCCAGTGGCCAGGTCAGGGGCCCCAGCCGATAGGAGTCGCTCGGTCACAGTAACGCGCTTCCTTTCCTTCTTGTCTCTGTCCTTAGGCCTGCCAACCACAGGTAGGTGGTCCGGGGGCTTGGGAGCATGTGATTCTGGACCTGGGGCTGGGGCCTGGGCACTGGGTGCTTCTGCCCAGCAAGGGCTCCCTGCTGTGCCTGGCTTAGTTCCGGCCTGAGATCCCGTGCTTGGGCTGCGCAAAGCCTGGCTGAGAGGGTGTGCTGGGCCATGGTGCTCCGGGCTGGCCCTGGCGGGGGCGCTGCAGGCTCTCAGGCCTCGTCCTCTCTGTCCTGGCAGGGGCCAGCTGGAGATCAGCAGCCTGGTGCCCCTGGGGCCCAAGTACGTGGTGAAGTGGAACACGGCGCTGCCCCAGGTGCAGGTGGTGGAGGTGGGCCAGGAGGGCGGGGCCTACGACAAGGACAACGTGCTCATCCAGCACGCCGGCGCCAAGAAGGCCTCCGCGGCAGGGCAGGCCCAGAGTGAGTACCGCCTGGCCAGGGCCCTCCTCACCCCGTCACAGCCAGGGCCCGGGCCCCGCAGGCCACGGCAGCATGGCTCGTGCTGGCTTTACAGCCCCAGCTGTACACCTGTGGCTTCACTTGGCACATGCACGGGCGTGTCCCAGCACCATCTCACCTCTGGCATACACACAGCTCACACTCCCCACTGCCACCCCAGTCTGAAGACACGCTCACACATGCATGCACACACACGGTGACTGAGGTGGACTGCGTGACTTCTGGTTCCCGTGGGACCTCAGGCAGGTGTCTCCTCTGTACCTCAGCTTGCCCCTTGGTATAGCGGGGAGCCTGTCACTGCAGTCTGTCCCCTCCATCCTTAGAGACTGGGCTCAGAGCTATCTGTCATGACCTGGATCCACCTCCCCCGTCCTGGCCAGACCCTTCAGACGCTGTCGGCTGTGGCCACCGCCAGGGCGACACTTTTCCAACAGTGTCTCCCCATCCAGCGTTCTGTCTGTCTCTGGGGCAACCCTGGACTGCTGCAGCCGCTCCCTCTTGCCCGGCCCCTTTCTATCCCTCCTCTGTGTGTCCCAGAGCCAACTCTTCAGATCCATGTGTGTCACCACTACCTCGAAGGCCCTAGGATAAAGGCCCCCAGCTGTCGTGGGGCACCGCCTGCTGCCCCTTCACCCTGTTGCCCCCTTCCCCCTCTCGCTGTGGCCACACCAGCCTCTCTGATTCCAGACGGGCCGTGCTCCTCCACAGGCGCCCCGTGCCTTTGGCCAGGGCACTCCCCGCACCCTCTTTTTGTCTGCTTTGTTCTTGCCCTTGCCCATCTTAGCTCATCTTAGATGAGACGCCTCTTCTTGCAGAGAGGCCGCGTCCCTGTCCTATGCTCTCGAGGCTGGGTCGTTTGTCCTTTTACTTGTGACTGGTGGATTTCTTTCCCCTGGTGTGAGCAGCCTCACCAGAACTTGGGGTGCCACAGACATTGACGTGTTTCTTGAATGTGTGACAGGCGTTAAAGCACAGGGCCGGCAGAAAGGAGCGCTCCTTCCCCGGGCAGGAGAGCGCTTGGGTTTCACTTCCCCTCTGCACGCCAGGCTCTGTCCACTCCGACGCAGGAGTTGCTTCACAGCTGCCAGGAAGTTGTGAGGGAGCGACCGTGCCGCCTCCTTGCTCCCGGGGCCGCTGTGCCAGGTGCTGGCTCTTTCCCCAGGCCTCTTGTCCCATTACGACCCTTGGAGGTACGCTTAGGCCCAACTCCATCCTGCCATCCCACCACGTGGGGCTGTTGCTCTGGGACCCTCCGCTGGTGACTTCGGACTGTCTGTGGCTGCATTCCTTAAGTTGGGGCATGCACTGCCAGACCCCCTTGACAAGGAAGAAGAAATTTTTGTTGAACCCCAGTTGGCCTTGAATGATTTATTATATTGTTATTCAAATATGTACAAATATAAAACTCAGCATAATCAGCTCCTTCTGCTTAGAGCCCTTGAACAACCGTAAAGCCACAACAGAATCACAGTGAATAAAAATAAAGCTACAGGACAATAAAACTCAAATTAACAGCATTAATGTACTGTGATGGATGGTGGCGTTTTACTGAAACCAAACCCCTCACCACGTGGAAGCTCTCGGGCGCAGGCTCTGCCGGGTCTGTGCCTGACCGCGGTGCTCCGTGGTGGGCCGCCTTCCTGCCAGCGCCTCCACCGGGGTCACCGCAGAGCCCCTCTTTGTTTGCTGCGAGCACATCGGTCACATCTCAGCCCCCTTTGTTCTTTGCTTGTCATCTGGTGACCCCTCAGGTAGATGGCTCGGTACCTAATCCTTGGAGCCCTGACGCCATGTGGCAGAACAGCACTCCCTCCTCCGCTCTGGGACGCCACAAGACCTCAGCATGAGTCTGTAGCTTGGAGAATGCAGCCGTGTTCTCAGCACGGCATTAGGGGTGCCCCCTCCGGTCCGGCTGGCCCCTCCTGCTCTGCCTCTTACTGTCCACCTCCATGCTCCTCCCTCCATTTACATCATCACCAGAGACTGGGTCCCTCCGCCCTGTTCCTGTCTCAGCTCCCCGATGGCTTTCTCCTCAGCACCTCCCACCATCTGCCCTCTCCGTGCCTCCTATCCTGGCCCTGCGCTCCCTAGGAGCAGGGACCCTGTCTGCCTTATTAATGCTCTCCTCAAACCTGGCCCACACCTGCACACAGTAGGCCTTTGACCCATGCTGTTCCTGGGCTTCCCCGAGCCACGGTGCCTTTGCATAGGCTAGTCTTCTTGGCCGTGCCCTCCACACTCCTGGCCCTGTGGACGCCTCGTCTCACCCAGGCACTGCTGGCTCTTGTCCTCCGTCTCCTCCCACCCTCTGCAGACAGCCTGTGGCCCAGGTCCCAGCTAGGCTTTATCTGTGGATGGAACTGTCTTCCCAGCTAGACTGGGAGCTGTCAAGGCAGAACCCTGGCGTATTTCCCTCTGTGTCCCCAGTGCCCTAACCCAGAGGGCAGCGTGTACTTTTGCTGTGAGTGTCTGCTCGGCTCCTCCCCACCAAGGCTGAGCCGGGTCTCTTCTGTGCGCAGATAAGGTGTACCTCGGCCCCCCACGCCTGTTCCAGGAGCTGCAGGACCTGCAGAAGGACCTGGCCGTGGTGGAGCAGATTACGCTCCTCATCAGCACACTGCATGGCACCTACCAGGTACGCGCCACCGGCCTGGCCTCCTGCGTCCCGAGCTTCTCCCCAGGGCAGTGCCCGCTAGCTCAGCCTCAGCTGCCTCAATGTGCCCCGGCGCTGAGTGCCCAGAGCAGCAGCCGCAGCAGGGCTCCGGGTTTCTGTCCGGAGGTCTGGCTGTGACCTCTGGTATGGGGAGAGCAGAGTCCGGGTGTGGGGCTTTTGCTGGCTCTCTGCACAGTGGCCAGGTGGTCTTGCAGCCCCTGCCTGGACCTCTGCTCCAGGCTGGAGAGGACTCTGCTCGTGAGGGCGTGTCCTCAGAGGAGGGCTGCCGGGCGGGATCGGAACCCAGGGCTGGATCGCCAGACGAGGGAGAGCCAGCCTCAAGCTGGTGGCTGAAGGAATAGCCTGTCCAGGCTCCTGGTCTTTTCCTCAGGTCCTCGCCCCAAGGTTTTATTCTAAACGAAACAGACCCCTGGAGGGTCTGATTGCAGCCGAAGCTGGTGTGGCTTCCGGGCAGCCACGAGTTGTGTGTGACCGTGACCTTATCGGCCTTCTCAACCCTAGAACCTGAACATGACCGTGGCTCAGGACTGGTGCCTGGCCCTGCAGAGGCTGATGCGGGTGAAGGAGGAGGAAATCCACTCGGCCAACAAGTGTCGCCTCCGGCTCCTACTTCCTGGGAAACCCGACAAGTGAGAGGAGGAGGGCCTGGGAGGGAGAGGGCTGCTAGGGGGATGGGGGACTCAGAGAGGGGCCCCTGTGATGGGAGTGGCTATGTGTGCTTTGTGGGCCGCGCCCAGGACAGTGCCCAGCACATAGTAGGTGCTGTGAAAAGACTGTTGGATGAATGATTAAATGATGAAATGAACAAACGCCCAGCTCATACCCTGGGCCAACCTGGTCCCCCTAAAGCCCTCAGATGCCCTGCCATTGGCTGGCTGCATTGTGCCACGGCCTTTGTATTAACCTCAGACTCTAGTCCCCTGGGCCAGGCTCCATGTCTCCTCCGGAGACCACACTGTCCCCCAGTATTGCCCTACCTACAGGTGCTTATGCACAGGAGACCCTGACTGAGGTCTGTGGATTGGTGAGATGTCCCTGGCAGATGGGAGAGATATCCGTCTGATCCCCTGCGGCTCCCTACGGTGGGTCTACCCACTGCACGGATGGGGACGGTGAGGCTCAGAGAGTTACATCCAGGCTAAAGGTCCCGTAGCGAGAGGTGGAGCTGGGTTCTGACAGGCCCTGACTGACACCAGGCTGGTGCAGTGAGGAGCCTCAGGGCCTCGTTTTGGAGTCAGGGTTGGTGGGATGTGGGGACAGTGTCCCAAGCACAGAGACCACAGGCGAGTGAACAGTGCAGTGCTGTTTGTGGCAGGGCTGTGGGACTGAGTGGGAGTCAGCAGCTCTGAGCTCTACCCCAAACCTGCCGCGTCCCTGCTGAGCAGCTGTGCACCTCCATTTCCCCTGCACACCACGCAGCATTAGCGACACTGCCCTGCCACCTCCCAGCAGGTAGGATGGCTCGCAGTGGAACAGACCGCAGAGGATGCCCAAGGAGCCTGTGTTGCTCCCAGGTGAGAGGACAGTGTGGTGACAGTGGCTACCTCTGGTGTCCCCAAGCTTGTGCTCAACCTCCTTCATTCATTTCTTCATTCATTCCCACGCCAGGTTCTGGAGAGAGACTGAATGTCTCCCTCCGGACGCCTGGCACATGAGGTGTCCGCAGGGCCTGTGAGGAGCTGACCAGGTGCAATGGTGACCTGCAGAGACCCTGCTAGGCACGGCCCCCAAAGCCCTTAGGGCCAGGCTGGGGAGCCTGGGCCACTGGGGCCAGGTAGCCCCCTCCAGTGCCACAGTGGGTGAGGGACTCCTTCCACAGGGGACGGAGGCCTTACTTGGCCACTGGCCTCTCTGGTCACATGTTGAGGATACTCTGGGTTGGAGGGATTGCTGAGCAACTGCCTGGGGGCACTCATGCTCTCCCCTGCCTTTCTCATAGGTCTGGCCGCCCCATCAGCTTCATGGTGGTCTTCATCACCCCCAATCCCCTGAGCAAGATTTCCTGGGTCAACAGGTTACATTTGGCCAAAATCGGACTCCGTGAGTATAGGCCTTGCGAGAACACCTCAGGGGCTGGGTGCAGACTGAAGTGTGCGGGGTATGAGTGTGAGTGTGAGGGTGCAGCCTGGGTCAGTGGGGACAGGGGAGACGGGGTATAAACAACGGAGACAGAGTCCCGAGTCCTCAGGCTCTGCTTCGTGCCCGTGGGCAGGTCACTTCCCCTCTCTTAGCCTCGGTCTCCTCGTCCATGAATTAACGGGACTGGACAGAAATTGAATAGTGGTTGCCAGGGCCCTGGGGAGATGGTCAAGGAGAGCCACTGCTAAGGGTTCTCGTGGACCTGGTGGAAGTGCTTCCAGCTTAGATGTGATGGCTGTTGCCCAGCTTGGGAACAGGAGGGGACTCTGAGAAGTTCGTGGATAAATGAGATTAAAGTGTGAGTTTATATTGATGCAGGAAAAATTTGAAATCTATACGTAGTTTTTTCATGATATGCATTTTCCACGAATATGGAACGAAGAAGACTCCCTGGATGCTAGAAACTAATTAAGTGTGTGCTTTGTAAGCTGGTGGCGTGGCGGTTAAGGCTCTGGACTCCCACGTGGCTGCCCATGGTTTGAGTCCTGGTTCTGGGGACTTGAAAATCACAGCTGGCATATGTGTGTGTGTTCCCAGAACCCAAGGGGAAGAGCAAGGATTGAGGCGTGGCCATCCCACCCGGGGGCAGGTGATTTCTCACTTTACCTCTTTCTGTCTCTCTCCAGTGAGCACATGTGCCCTATGGCAAAAATCTCTAAAAAAAAAAAAAGTATACATTTATGATAATTAAATTATACCTCAATAAAGCTGTTACTCCCCAAATTGACGTAGTCAGACGAAACTGATTCTCACTTACTCTCATTCCTACGCATACCGGAATACCGACAGACAAATAAATTCATATTTACAGGTTGCTTCCTGTATAACAAGTAATTCTAGAAACATTTTATACACAGCCTTTTCATTTTGCGTTCATAGCTCTTCTGGGGTAGGTCTGTGGTGGACTCCCGTTCACTACTGAGGATTCTGAGGCCGGGGATGGGCTGTGACTTGCTCTTTCCCACGGCAGGAAAGAGCAGTAATGGGATTCAGACCCTGGTGGTCTGCTTCCAGAGCCCAGTCTGGACCCGCGTCTGTTCTGCTTCCCCAGCTTGTGCAGTTCTGCCTGGCAGACCTCGTTCACTATGTTTTAGTTATTCTATTTGCCCACGTTTCGGCCTTGCTAGAAGGCCTGTGGCCCCACCAGTCAGAGCTACTTTTCTCTCCGATGTTCTAGAATCTCCGCTGCTGATTCTAGCTAAGAGTAGGGCTTTTTTCGTCGTCGTTTCTAGCGTTTTATTTTTATAGATAAGTATATGCATTTCCAACAGGTTTTATTTTATTTTAGTGTTAATTGCCAGAGGGCACATGTGCTCGCCAGAGAGAGACAGAGACCGAGAGAGGTGGAGGGAAAAGGCACCCTCCCCACCCAATGGGGCATGGTCACAGCCAAGTCCCTTCTCCGTCTCTCCATCCTGTGGGGATTTGGGGCATGCACACATGCCTGGTGTGTTTCTCCAGTCTCTGGGGCTAGAATTCCAACCTGGGTCTGACAGATGGGATCTGACCCGCTTAACCACTAGGCTATAACTGACCTACCCATCGATTTAAAAACATTTCTGGAGAGGCCAACAGGCCGTGTAGTGGTTATGGCACTAGACCCCACCTGGCCGACTAACATTGGAGTCCCAGACCTAGTGGCTTGAAACTCATGCCAATCGCGTGTGCATAGGTGTACAAAAACCTGAGAGGGGAATGGAGAAGAAAGGATTGTGGCGTGGCCATCCCCCCGGGGCAGTTTCTCACTTTCTGTCTCTCTGTCTCTCCAGAAAGTACATACACCGTATAGCAAAAATCTCTCCCAACAAAAAGAATTTCTGGAAAGAAGTCAGGACCCCTGTTACTTGCTTTCATTAATTATACAAAAAACTGTATTGTGTCTCCAAAGTGATTTGAAGCACGGAGAAGACCGTGACAACACCAGAAAGATCCCGCTCTCAAGGAACTTAAACTGATAAGGGGCGAGAGGACCTTATACGGGGAGCAGATCAACCGGGAGGGCCTGTGCTGTGAAGGGCATGGAGCTGGGTGATGAGGCTGTCCCCAGGTGTTGGGGTCCAGCTGCTGTTCCGGAGGGCTCCTGAGGAGGTGACGTGAAGCCGTGTGGTGACCTGGCCTAGTGACCCAGGCATGGCCACGGCAGCTGCAGGGGTCCTGAGAGAGGGTGAAAGGACAGCCCGCGTGGCTAGACCTAGTGAGTGAGCGGGAGGGAAGGGGAGCGGAGCGCAGGTTTTCTGGAATTTTTTCCAGGTGTGGTGGAAGGGTGGAAGCCGTTCACTGTGTCATTGACGGTGGGACGCTGTCATGGTCTGTTTTCCATTTAAGTGGGTTGTTCTGGCTGTGGTGTGGAGGGCACTGGAGGGATGGGGAGAGGGTAGGAGAGAGAATGGGGAGGTGGCTGTGACCTTGGAATCTCAGAGGCCTCTTCTCAGCTTGCCCCTCCTTGGATCTGGGTGTGATGTGGCTTGAGCCTCCCCTGGGTATTTCTGGGTGACCAGGAGGCCTTCGGAGGATGGAGAAAGGATTTCGGTAGAAGCTGCCCCGTTAGGAATCCTGGCCTCCAGAAAGGCTAAGCTGTCCCCACAGCTCCCCCGCTGGGCTTCTGGTCCCATGGTCCCCTCCCCACTTCTCCCTTCCCCTCCCCGCCCCGCCCCGCTCGTGCACAAGTTCCGTCTTGGGCAAATGCCCAGGCCCTGTTTGTACACCTGCTTTAAAGGCAGATAAGTCTCCTGTTTGAAGCTCAGATTCTGTGCTGGGAGGGGCTGGCGCTGGAGGGGCCCAGCCACTGATGTGGGCAGACCCGACCGTCCTGCAGCCTGTGAAGACGCTGCTGCCTTATCTCGGTGCAGTTTCACTGCAGCAGAAGTTTTAATGGAAGGAGAGACATTTGAAATCTTATTTGAATGCCTGGGTTTCCCTGGGGCTTGAATAATTTGTTTCTTTTATTTTGGCAGTTTGTTTTTTTTATCTGCAGTGCCTGGTGGGTGGTGGGGGGGAAATAATATGAGCCTGTTAGAAATAGAACGTTAAAAACATTTATTCACAAAGGATGTCATTCCTTTAATTTCCCTTTGCTGTGTCTTCTTTCCTCCCTGACTGCACTGTGGCAGGAGCATGATCTAGGGAAGAAGGAGAAAGCAGAGGGCTGGGGGTGAGGGGCCTGGGGCCTGAGCTGGAGATCAGTCCTGCTCCTCGCAATGCAGGTGCCCAGGGACCGGTTCGAGCCTCCGTATGGCCACCACTATGTGGGTGGTCCTGGGAAGGGCAGCCTCCTTCTGAGCCTCTTTGTCCCTTGTAACTTGGGCTCAGGCGCCAAGGGCCTTTCCCAGCTGTGGGCGGGATCAGAGGCACCTGGGAAGGAGGCCTTATCTTAGGCAGTGAGAGCAGTCCTTAGGCCTGTGTGACACGGAGCCCCACTGCCTGGTTTCGGTTCCCAGCTCTGCCACTTGCCAGCTCTGTGGGCTTGGCAAACTAACCTCTAGGTACTTGGGGCTTCCCCCAGAAAATGGAGATTGTGCCAGTGGCTCCTGCTCAGGCCCTTGTGAGGACTGGGGTGCCAGTGCATGGAGGTGCCTAGGATAGCCGGAGCTGTGCGGGGTCCCTCTGTCAGGTACCTGCATCTCAGATAGAGAACAGGCGGCCTGAGGTCGCACAGTGGAGTCGCACTGGCCCGGGTACCGCCCTCTCCCACCCTGCAGTTAGTCTCCTGTCCTAAAGCTGTCCGAAACCAGCCGCAGAGGTGAGGCCTGAGGAAGGAGGTGAGGTCAGGGCTCTCTGAATCCCTGCACCGCCCCCACCCTCCAGCTCAAAGCTCTGCATATCTGGGTCCTCTCCTTGGACCCAGTCTCGAGGGGACCAGAGTTTGGCAGGCCCCGGGCTGACCCCACACCCACAGTGGGATTCCAGAGGGTGGTCTGAATGCAGGGCTGAGGCCTCCTGTGCCGCCTTTACTCTGGTTCGGTGTTTCAGCCCTGAGTCTTCCCAGTGAGGCTGATCTACCCAGTGATGACTTGGCATGGACCCTGCCCTGCCTGGGGGCCCTGAGCATGGCCCAGGCAGCTTGAGTGCAGCCTCACCCTCATCTCCTTCGGCCCTCACGATCGCTCCAGAGCTCAGTGGAGTGTGGGGTGGGCCTGCTCTCTGTGGGCCTTGACTACAGAGGGGCCCTGACCACAGTGTTACCCCAGCCGGGAGCCCCCATCTGGTCACATGTCTCTCTGGAGTGGTCTGCCCTGCCCAAGTCTGGGCTGTGGCCTGCAGTGTTTTCCGGGCTCAGGGGAGCAGTGAGCAGGCCTTAGAGACTGCCTTAGATTTGGGAACTCCAGGAAGAGCAGTCTGAGTCCTCCGCTGGGGCGGTGGGGACGGAGCACAGTATGCGTTTGGAGGCGAGTGGCCTAGAGGAGCAGGGCATGCCCCTGACAGAGGGCCTGTGTGTGAGAGGCACTGCTTCTTGAGCACGGCAGATCCTGTGGGTTCTTCCCGGCACTCACAGCCCCAGACCGCCGGAATTACCAGCCCCGTTTTCTAGATGAGGCAACAGGCTCAGAGAGGTTAAGGGCCTCGCACAGTGTCGCACAGCTACTGGGAGGCCGAGTTGGAACTTGTCTGGGATCTTGCTAGCAAATCAGACAGGACTGATCTGAGGGCTGGGGGAGCTTGCACCCCTGGAGCGGCGCCCTCTGCACCGTGGGGAGCCCCCACTTAACGTCCGTTGGAGATCAGCCTTGTGGTCCATGCCGGTTCTTAATGTCGCTTATCCCACGCCGGCTCTCGATCTCCAGTGGCAGCGGCCTTCCAATTGGGTCTCAGCCGCTGGGCTCTGTGACGGGAACAATGGTGGTGGCAGACGGGGAGCAGCAGCTCCGCTTCCTTTTAACACTCCCAGGCGCAGGCGGGGAAGGCACCATCTGGAAGGAGAAGGTCAGATCATTACAAATATATACAGCAGTAAATTGCTGGGGCTTGACGGGCTGCGGCTGTGTGGGGGAGCAGGGGGCGAGCTTGGGGCGAGGGGGCTGACAGCCCTGGTGGGCTCTCGTCCGGCAGAGGCGGGGTTCTGCCTGGTTGTACGGTTCTTAGGAGCAGGGACAGACCCTCGGTGTGTCACTCCCTTGCTTCCCAGGGGCTGTCCAAGAGGCAGCGTGGGCGTGACGTGAGCAACCTGACAGGGAGAAGTGGGCTGCCCCGACAGGCTGCGGGGATTCTTGAAGACAGGTGGTGGTCGATTCATTCATTCCCTCTTTTCATTCATTCCTTCAACCCATGTTTGCTGAGCACTTACTACGAGCCAGGCAGTGTGCTGGGCCTCAGGGGAGGTGGTACAGGAGATAGCACAGAGTCTCTGACCACTTACCTTCCAGGGCCGTGCGGAGACAGACCCTGAATAAGTACATTTTAGATTGTGACGGCTATGAGGGATGGCGGAAGGATCTTTAGAGGGACGCATAACTGGGGCGGTCAAGGAGGACTTCTTGGAGGAGGAGGATGTGTCACTGGAGCTCAGGCCTGTGTGAAGGAGAACATGGCTTAGCAGATGCTCTTTAGCACTGCGATCTCTAACTGTGAGGAGCCGGGGATCGGGCGTGGGCACCTGTGCTCATACCAGCTCCCTAGGGCTTTGGTCACAGCTGAACAGGGGGACTGGGCGGCAGGTGGCTCCCTTCCTTTCAGGGTGGCCTTGATGGAAGCAGGAGCGTGACCCCTCCACCTTCTTGCTGCCATCATAGTTGAATGTCCCAGCACCGCAGCGGCACCTCTGTGGCCCTCTGCTGTGCATGCTCTGCCTCGCACTTGGAGTGAGTTCAAGGCTGCGGGGACCTGACCCCGCACAGCGTGTTGATGTTTTGAAACCCTTTCACGCCCATTACTTCATCCGGCCCTCACAACAGCAGGATGAGGCATTTAATCCCTGAGGCTCAGAGCTGGGGTGATTTGTACGGGGCTGCTCAGGGTTAGGGGGTCAAGCCCCGGGATTCAGACCTTGAGTTTCTGGCTCTACCTGGGCCTCAGCATCCCCTTGGCGGTACGCGGCTGGGTTTTGTCTCAGGTGGGCAGGAGCATGGGCCTGACCTGGGCCTGGGCACTCCCTGGGCTGGGAGGGCTGCTCAGCGTCCCGTGGGCTCTCGCCTGACCGGCTCTCCCCTCTCCACCTCCTTGCTGCAGGCGAGGAGAACCAGCCAGGCTGGCTGTGTCCGGATGAGGATAAGAAGAGCAGAGCCCCGTTCTGGTGCCCGATCCTCGCCTGCTGCGTCCCTGCCTTCTCTTCCCGGGCCCTCAGCCTGCAGGTGAGTGGAACGGACCTCGCCGTGCCGACTGCCAAGGTGGCTGTGGTTTTCACCATCACCTCGTAGGAGAACCAGTTTCCAGGTCGTGCCTGTGACCCAGGAGGCCCGGGTGCCGGCGCCAGCACCTCGGCTTCCTGCAGAGAGTGGGCCGAGCCTTTCTGTTGTCCGCTTTCCCGCCCCTGGGGTCAGAGAGGACAGTTCCATCATTCCGAGTCACAGATAGCAATAATCTCATTGTCCGTGGCGCTGACTCTGGGGCATACCACGTGACTGGGCCAGCCTTGGTGGGGTGGGTCCTCTGCGATGCTGCCAGGTGGGAGCTGGCTTTGGAGTAGGGTCTGCCCCATCCCGGAATGCTCCAGGGCCACCCTGCCTCCCACTTTCTCTCCTAGTGCTACCACTATTTTCTGGTGTTTATATTTCTTTCTTTACTTTGTTTATTATTATTTTTAATTGTTAGAAGGTGTATGCTCTCACCAGAGAGAGGCAGAGAAATAGAGATGGGGGTTGGGGCAGAAAGTCTAGTTCTCCTATTTCTTTCTTTCTTATTTTAAATAACTTTTAATAACACTTTTTGAAAAGAATTATTGTATTTTTAACTTTATTTATTTATTTTATTTTAATTTGACCAGAGAGGGACAGAGTGAGTGAGAGAGAGAAAATAAGAAAGTAAGCCGCCAGGTCCAGGACTCAAACTGCAGTTGGCCACGTGGGGAGTCCAGCACCCTTACCTCCACACCACCTGCCAGCTCCTGGTTTCCCTATTTCTTAGAGCCCTAGGTGCAGACAGGCATGGTCATTTTTCTAGAACGGCGCAGTGAGTAAGGGATGGATGCAGGAACCTTGGCCTGGCTCTGCCTGATCAGAGTGCCCACAGTCTTAACCACTAGGAGGCTCAGCCTCCACTGGTCATTTGTCCCTTATATCCTGGCCACGCTTGCCCTTCCACCTGGAGCAACTGCTGTCCGCCCTCTGCCAAGGGGAGGGTTAGCTCAGCTCTGGGGACCAGGGCAAGCTTGGGAGCCTGGCCCAGAAACGTCGGTCCTGAGAGACTTGCTGAGCAGACGAGGCTGGGGCCGAGGGTGTTCATTCACTGGTTCCTTTATTCGCTTGTCCATTCTGCCTATAGTTTCAGCACCTGCTGTGCGTTCAACACTGGCACCAATGTGGTGACGAAGACATTCAGGGTCCCTGCCCTCACGGACCTTTCAGCCTAGTGAGAGACGGTCGTGAGCCAGCAAACCAAGCACGCGCAAGGGAGTGATGGGTGTTACAGACGGGGCCACGGAGTCAGGGTGTTCACACAGGGCCTCTCGGAGGAGGCGGCATTTCTTTTCTAAAATTAGCTGTAGGGCACGTGTGCTTGTTAGAGAGACAGAGACCTCCTGGGGGATGGCCATGCCACAGTCCCCCTTCCTCCACTCTCTTCTCAGGCCCCTGGGCATGAACACACACATATACCCAGTGTGTCCTTCGAGCCTGCAGATCTGGGACCTGGACCACGCCGTGGGCCATGCGGGATCTAGCCACCCCAATCACCATGTCACCTGGCTGGTGCAGAGGAGATGGCATTTAAACTGATACTTGAATGGCAAGAAGGACCAGCCCTTGGAGGGGCCCAGAGAAGAATATTCCAAGTAGACAAACCAGCACAGAGGCCGTGTGGGAGTGGGCAGGGCCCAGGGTGTCAGGAGAGGAGAGAAGGCGGGCGATGAGGTTGGTGGTGGGCGAGGTGGGTCACACCAGCCTTGAAGGCTGCATCAGGTTTGCGTGTTAGTCTCAGAATAGTGAAAAGCCATGGACGTGTCTAAGCTGGGACTGGCACCACCAGATTTGTATTTCTGGATTGTTTCAGTCTTTCTGGTTCTTTGTGAGGTTGAACCGAGGAAAGGGGCTGGAACGGTGCGTTCAGAGCTTAGTGCAGGAGTCCTTTGAGACGTGTGGGACTTGGCTGGGGAGAGGCTAGGCCTGGGACTGGGGAGAGGTGAGTGAGGCCCTCACCTTGGGAGAGACATTTACAGATGCCAAATACCTCAATAAGCGGGACCTGCAGATGGCGTAATGGTTGCATCGCCGGGCTCCCGCGTCTTCAAATGCAGTTTGAGTCCCGGACCTGGCAATTTAAAACTCACGCTGGGCGCATGTGCATGCGTGCCCAAGATCCCCGCAGGGGGTGATTTCTCACTTTCTGTTTCTCTCTCTCACTCTATCTCTTTGGTGAAAAAAATCTCTCTCTCTCTCAAAACAAAACAAAACAAACAACCTCAATAAGCAAGATAAATACTACTTCAGTGCAGTACTTTAAAAACATCTCATTGAAACGTTTGGCCTATGGTTTTGCTTTTTTTGCTTGTAAATAAAGGGCCGTGATCAGGGTGAGACAAGGGATGTTGCAGAGACCTGTGAGGGCAGGGCTGGGCCCGCCTTGACTTACACTTTTTATGATTGCACATCATGGATTTTTTTTTTTTTGCATTAATGTTTATTTTTAAAAATTGCCTTAGGGGCCAGCAGGTGGCCTAATGGTTACATTGCTGGACTCCCACATGGCCAACCATGGCTCGAGTCCCAAGCCTAGTGGCTTGAAACTCACATCGGGCACTTGTGCGTGTACCCAAAATCCCGAGAGGAGAATGGAGAAGAGATTGTGGCATGGCCAGGGGTGGTGGTTTCTTGCTTTCTCTCTGTCTCTCCAGTGAGCGCATATGCCCTATAGCAAAAATCTTTCTCCCTCTAAAAAAAATTTTAAAAAGCCTTAAAATATTTTTCTTGATGTCTTGATGACCGAATTTTGGTAGCCCTTCAACTGGCACTGAGGTAGGCTCCCTGTCCCTTCACCCTAGCCCTGGCCCTGTGGAGTCATTCAGGGAAGTGTGCTGAGCTAGGACTGGCTGGGCTGGTGATAGGTGGGGTGCACTCAATGGGGGTTTACTCATGGGCCCTGGGGCCATGGGTGGGGGACAGAGTCCACGTGGTGGGGATTGTTGGGGTGCTCTCGGCCTGCAGCTCTCCTGGCCTGACTCACCCCCTGGCGAAGGCTGAGCCCACACTGACTTTGGGATGCTTTCTCCTGTCTGACTCCCCCAGGGCCTTGCTCTCTTGGAAACACAGGGTTCAGGTTGGCCCGAGGTGGTGAAGTCAGACAGGCCTCTGCCTCTAGGGCCTTCCTGGAAGAAGCCTCCACCCAGGTGGAGAGCCACCTGCTGCCTCCACCCTAGGGGGTGAGAGCCCACCAACCTCTTCATCTGGAGGGTGTGCCTGAGGGTTCCCACCAGGCCCCTGCTCTGTCTCCCAAGGACGCCCCTGGGGTACTGAGGGAACTGCACCTGAGTCGTGTGGGAACAGGTCTGTGGAGGGCCAGGGGACAGAGCAGAGCCTGCCTTCACTGGGTTCCGAGACACCACTCCGCTAGGCCCGTACCACCTCCCACCCAAAACCAGACAGATGTGCCCACTGGCTCCATGCTGGCATCCAGATGAGTAGGTCCTTGGAGTGCCAGTGCCTCGCCCGGTTACTGCAGGGACAGATGCGGGCATGTGTGCCATTCCTGGGCCTCCTCCCTGCCCATTGCTGCTTCCAGGCAGCCAGGGGCCAATCCTGGGGCTCTGTAGCTGCCCTCATTAGAGCCAGAGACCAAGCCTGCATCTCTGGAAAGCAGAGCTGGGCTCAGGGAGTTGCCGGACCAGCCCCTTTCCCAGTGCAGATGGATCAGCACCCTCGTACCAGCTGCATGAGGGTGTGTTGGTTCCCTTGAGGAAGGGAGTGAGGACTCCAGGGGTGGGTGGCAGGAGCGGGCGTCTATCTGAGAAGGTCACAGCCGTCTTCCAACTCAGAGGGAGCTGGTTGTTGGGGTCGTGAAGGAGCATTCGCAGGCAGCTGCCCTGCCTGGGTTGAGCCCAGCCGCGTGACACCATGAAGGCTGCTGTGTCACGGCTGTCTTCCATGCCTAAATGGAATGGTCACAGCCCCCGCCCCTCCGGGCTGCAGTGAGGGCTAAATGATATCTGTGGCCAGGGGTCAGCAGATGGCGTAGCGTTTATGTCTCTGGACTCCCACATAGCAGACAGTGGTTTGAGTCCCAGACCCGTTGACTTGAAAATCATGCTGAGTGTGTGTGTGTGTGTGTGTGTGTGTGTGCCCAAGATCCTGGGAGGAGAAAAGAGAAGCAATTGCAGTGTGGCCATCCCCCCTGGGAAGGGCGATTTTTCACTTTCCCTCTCACTGTTTCTGTCTTTCTCTCTCCTGCGAGTGCACACGCCCAAAGGCAAAAACCTCTTTAAAAAATGAAACGATGTGATGCAGGCCACATGCAGAGCCTGTTCACGGCGTCCACTCAGGGATCAAGAAGTGGAAGCAAGCGATGTCTGGGACTTGCTGGTCCCAGGAAGGAGAGACCACTGGGGTCTATTTGGGGAGTTTCCAAAGGCTTGACAACTGGACTATCAGAGGACTCCTCCTGGACTCCTGGCTCCATCCAAGAGGGACTCCTGTCCCTGGAGAGGCAGCAGGAGAGCCAGGGGATGGAGCAGCGCAAACCCATTTTCCCGACGGACCCAGATTACTCTTAAGGCCTGCCTGGGACAGGGGTCAAGGTGCGGCCTGCTCGAAGATGCTTTAAAGCACAAGTACCTTGGGGTCTGAGGGGCTGCCACCAGGCCTGCAGACCTAGGCCTCTGCTCCCAGCCCAGCGGCCTCAGTCCAGGCCAGAACGGTTCGTACTCAGGCACTCTATCTCCTAAGCCTGCGCAGGGCTGGCGTGTGGCGGCTCCGCCTTGCAGTCCTGCTCTGCTAATCCAAGGAGGGAAGGCGGGCCATGTGCTAGAACATCCCACAGGAAGCCCCAGGTAGGCCCCAGTTGCCACCGTCACAAGTCGTCAGGGTCCCATTTGTAGATGAGGGACCAGTTGGCTGAGGACCACCGCATGGTGGCCGCTGAGCTGGGTTGGAACCCAGGTTGGCTGTGTCCAAAGCTGGTTTCCTTTTTCTAGCCCCATGTGCCCCTGCTTTGCTCTGCCTGAGTGCAGCCGTGCGGTTCAAGTCCCAGACCAGGAATGTGTGCATGCATGCTGAGTCCCGAGAGGGGAGTGGAGGAGAGGAAGCGGTGGTGTGGCTGTCCCGGGAGCAGAGCTCGCTCGCTCTCTCCCATGCACGCAGCTTTCTGGCATGGGCAAGACGTTTAGACCCAGGGCCTTGCCTATTAGGAAGGCATTTGAGTTTCTGCTGCCATCTGGGGCCCAGTGCCCTTGATTCAGCTGACATCAGGGCCCATTGGAGTTGCCATGGAAATGCCTGAGCCAGGGCTGCGATGGCTCCTGCCCCCTCTGAGAGAGAAGAGAGGGAGACAGCCTGGCAGGAAGGGTGGCCACTAGGAATCAAGAAAGGCAGGGAGCCCTAGAGGCCAGGTGTCAGGGTGCCTCCTGCTCTGGGTATGAGCCCCACTTCCCAGCTGGGCAGAAGGAGGCCCTGAGTCCTGAGGCCTGCAGCATGGCAGCCTGGCTTCTGTGTAGGATGTAACCAGAGTAGACTGCCCTGGATCAGGCTTTGAATTCTAGCTCTGGCTATGCCACTGACTTGCTGTGTGACCTTGAGCCAGTCATGCCCACCAAGCTAGTTCTAGTTGGCCAGTTGCTTAATTAGGAGGCTGATGAGGGACTCTGGGCCCTCTCACCCATGGCCAGTACAAATGCTCTTAGAATATTCTGCGAGGGCCAGGCTGGCTGGGGCCTTGGGAACCAGCAGAGGGCAGCACCTGCCTGGAGAAGGGCCCAGTGGCCAGCTGTTCTCCTTCCCCTTTGGTCTGGCCCACAAAATGGCCAGGCCATTTCCTCACTTCGTTGTCCTTGCCATAGAGATGGACTGGCCAGGTCTAGCTCAGGAAACAGTCTCAGAGAGGCCACTCAACATGGAGTTTGGGGTGGCAGATTCAGGATGAGGAGCAAGCCGTGGCTCCTAGTGACAGCTATTACAGACACAGCCCCTGGCCTCTGTCTGGCCTGCACAAGCCACCCAACCCGCTGGTCCTGGCAGACTCTTCTGCAGAGGTTCTGTGGAGGCGGAGGAATGTAGGAGGCCATGGAGGAGGTGGCTGCAGGCAGGCCCTGGGACTGCCCCTGCACCTAAGGAGCCACCTACCCTCTGTGGACTCATTGTCCACCATCTGCGTTATTAAAGGGAGGGGGGGTGCACATGAGTATCTTCCAACAAACTTATTCATAAGCTGCCCAGTTTCAAAGACCTTGGGCTGATGTGGAGCGTCACTCAAGCCCCTTGTAGCGGAAGGTTCTAGGAGAGCTTTGAGCAAATACGAGTGTGTACAACTTGCCTAGAGACCCTGGGAGACGTGGACTTTCCTGGTGCCCACCCTCAGGGATTCTCACTCAGGGAGCTGGATGGGACCCAGAATTGCCAGGATTGTTATCTCAGCACCTCGGCCATTAACCCTCCATGCGCCATCTCTGTCTCCACAGCTTGGCGCCCTGGTCCACAGTCCTGTCAGCTGCCCCCTGCTGGGCTTCTCAGCAGTCAGTACCTCTCTTCCACAGGGCTACCTCTGGGTGAGTAGGCCCCACACACAGCCAGGGCTTCTGGCTTCACGACAGGAGCAGGGAGGGCGGCACCCGGGAGAGTGCAGGAGAAAGCTGCCTGACAGCTGGGCCCCACGTGCAGCAGCAGCCAGTAAGGTCTTCCTGGGGACTTCTGGCACCAGGCACTGTGCTTGGAGTTGGGAGGTGCAACCTCCCCTGGGCAGCAGGAGGCCATAGGTGAAGGAGAGGGCCAGAGTGCGTGGGTCACAGGGGCTTCACCCTGGATACTGCCCACCTCCTGTAAGGCTCCAGCCCAGCTTTCTAAGTTCCCTTCCTGGGAAAGCCTGTCTTGATTTAGATGAGGAAGCTCCATGCTCTTGTGATGCAGATGGTGCCCTTTCATTGACTGTGCCCCCACCTCCCCAGGTTTTAGCCTCACCACACTGGCCACCATTTCCCTGCATATTCCTGTCTCCAGGCACTCAGGGCAAGAAGACGCTGACTTATCCTTCACAGTTCATCCCAAATGTCGCTCCACGAAGTGATTTGTTCCCAGTTTTCAACTATGCAATGTGTTTATCCATCCACACACTCACCCACCCACCTGTCCATCCATGCATCGATCCTCCATTCATGGATCCATGAACCCATCCACCCATCCACCCACTCACCTCTCCATACATCCATCTACCCATGCATGTGCACACATGTCCATTCATGCATGTATATCCATCTATCCAGCCACCCACCCACCTGTCCACCCATGCATTCATCCTCCATTCATGGATCCATGCACCCATGCACCCATGCACCCACCCACCTCTCCATACATCCATCTACCCATGCATGTTCACATATGTCCATTCATGCATGTATATCCATCTACCCAGCCACCCGCTCACCTATCCATCCATGCATTTACATACCCCTAAACGCATCCATCCATCCATCCATGCGTCCATATGTGCATCTGTGTACCTGTCCATTTGTCTAGTCATCCATCCACCCATGTATGGATGCATCCATCTAGCCATCCATCCATACATCAATGAGTGCATCTGTGCATCCATCTCTTCATAACATCCATCCGCCGATGCATGCACGCATCCATTCATTTATCTATCTCTTCTTCTATCCATCTGTCCACTTATGCAATGGTGCATACACCTATGCATCCACTCATCTATCTATCCATCTACCCACCCATGCATAGATATATGCATCTGGGCATCCCTTCATCCACTTACGTATTCATCCATTCATTGATGTGTATACCTATGCATCCATTCATCCATCCATTCTTCCATGCATTGTTGTGTGCATCTGTGCATCCCTTCATCCATTCATCTGTTCATCATCCATCCATTGATGTGTGCACCTATGCATCCATTCATCCATCCATTCTTCCATGCATTGTTGTGTGCATCTGTGCATCCCTTCATCCATTCATCTGTTCATCATCCATCCATTGATATGTGCATCTATGCATCCATTCATCCATTCATTATTCCATGCATTGTTGTGTGCATCTCTGCTTCCCTTCATCCATTCATCTGTTCATCATCCATCCATTGATGTGTGCACCTATGCATCCATTCATCCATCCATTCTTCCATGCATTGTTGTGTGCATCTGTGCGTCCCTTCATCCATCTATCTATTCATCCATCCATTGATGTGTACACCTATGCATCCATTCATCCAGCCATTCTTCCATGCATGGTTGTGTGCATCTGTGCATCCCTTCATCCATCCATCTGTTCATCATCCATCCATTGATATGTGCACCTATGCATCCATTTATCCATTCATTGGTGCATACAGCTGTGCACCCATTCATCCATCTATCTATCCATCCATGCACTGATGCAGGCATCTGCATCTGTTCATCCATCCATCCACTCACCCACTTATACATTATCTACCCATCTACCATCTATTTAGTCATCCATCCATGCACCTACACATCTATTCGTCCATTCTTCCTTCCTTCCACCCACCCATCTATCCAGTAAGCACACGTTGAGGGGTACCATGTGCTTGATGTAGAAACAAAACAGAGAATAAGACACAGAAGAGCAGTTAAAGGGGACACAGTAGATGTTTGCTATGCATTGGTTGAAATGTACTGTACAGAGAAGGAAATAGAAAGCTGTCTGGGAATTTAGGCCATCTCTGCTCCTTACCTGATTTTCTTTGGGCTTGGAAGCTAACTTGTTGCCACAACCACTGGGATGAATGACTTCTGTGGCCTCAGGACATGTGTGGACAGGAAAGGGGACACTCTATTCAAGGAACGGGGTCCCTGGGAAGGCAGGGGTTAAGCTTCCCCTCTGCACCTGATGTTCCCACCTGACAGCCTCTCTGGGTCTCTCTCCCAGGTCGGGGGCGGGCAGGAGGGTGCAGGGGGCCAGGTGGAGATCTTCTCCCTGAACCGGCCCTCACCCCGCACTGTGAAGTCCTTCCCGCTGGCAGCCCCTGTGCTCTGCATGGAGTACATCCCGGAGCCTGAGGAGGAGGCAGAGAGTGGCGACGAGAGCCGGACGGCTGCTGACCCCTCGGCTGCGGTGCATCCAACCATCTGCCTCGGGCTGCAGGATGGCAGGTGAGGGGCCTGGGAGGAGGGCTGAGGACAGTCTGGGCAAGGCCGGGTAGTGGGATTGGGGCTGTCGCTCCTGCTTTCTCGGCCTGCTTGTCACCTCTTCACATTCTCTGCCCTGGTTTGGAGTCATCAGAAAGGTGAGGGCAGCGATACCTGGTGTGGGAGCCCGAGTGTCAGGAGCTGCTTGCTCTTTAGCTGACTGACCCTCTTCTAGGCAGCATGGCCACGGGGCTGGAGATGCTGGTTTGGTGTCAGCAGGTCTGGGTTCAAAGCTCAGCTCACCACTTGCTCGCTGTGGGTCCTTAGGAACACCACCTAAGTTCTCTGAGCCATTGTTTCTCATCTGTAAAATGGGAATTAGGAGCCTACAGAGGGGCCGCTGTTAGAGTCCACCAAGGCACAATGAGGGCAGCTTTAGTTCACTTGGGTGTCACTTGGTCACCCATCTATGGCTTCAGTCCCCTTGCTGGGTGAGTGAGGGCTCCAGGCTCTCCCAGGTCCTGAGGCCATTGCCAGCAGTGGGAGCTGCTGCCCCCTGTAACGTAGTGGAATGTCATCTCAGGCCGACCTGCACCAGGAGGCCCAGCCCAGAGAGCTGTAGCCCACCCGGGTCAGCAGACCGCTTCCCATAACGTCCGGGGGTGGCTATCCACCCTTGTTATCTGCGAAGGGAGGTGCAGGTGAGGGCTATAGACCATGTCCCAGGGAGTCCTTGGGCCTACTGCTGTGTTCTGTCCTGCCTGTCCTGGAGAACGACCCGGAGTGAGCACGTTCCCTGCTCGCCACGCCTACTGTGTGCTGCTCGTCCTTGGCGGGAGCTCTCCACTGTGAAGTGGAGGCTGCTCCCCTCGTTTCCCACTCAAGGAAACTGAGGGAGGAGCAGCAGCTAACACTCGACAGAACTAACTTGGAGCTGCTCTCTCTCCAGGAAACCCGGGCTGGGTCTGCAGCTGAGCGTCCAGCTCAGGGCTGACGGAGGGACTGGTGAACACCTTTTCTATATTTTTATACAAGAAAAAATTTACATAACATTTTAAACTGTACAGTGTAGTGACTTCCAGTAACCACTATCTAGTTGCAGAACATTCTCATTATCCCAGAGAGAAACCCCATACCCATAAACAATTGTCCCGATTCCCTTCCTGCCCATTCCCTGGAAACCAGCAGCCTGCCCCTGTCTGGATTTCTCCCACGTGGCGGCCACATGCCTGCTACGCTTACTCAGCATCAGACTTCCCTGCTGTGCCGTGTCAGTGCTTACGAAGTAGGTGACAGCGGAGGCTCAGCAGCCCAGGCTCGCTCAGCCGGAGGGGTGTCTGCGTCTGAACTGGGTCTGTCACTCTGGGACTCTTATCTGTTGCCTCTGGGGCAGCTTTGCCAGTGATGGTGGCCAAGGAAGATGCCATCCTCGAGGAGCGAGGCGAACTCCTACAGGGGAGCGATGGCCCCATCACAGCAGGAAAGTCGGGGGGCGTGCTCAGCGAGTCACGGCACCCCCATCTCTCCCGCAGCATCCTGTTCTACGGCAGCGTGGACACCGGCACCCAGTGCCTGGCGACCTGCAGGAGCCCAGGCCTGCAGCCCGTGCTCTGCCTGCGGCACAGCCCCTTCCACCTGTTTGCCGGCCTGCAGGACGGGACGCTCGCCGCCTACCCTCGGAGCAGCGGTACGGGCGGGGTACGGGCAGGGTGGGAGCGGTCCTGAGTGCTAGCTGAGCACCGGATTCTCTGCCAAGGGGACAAGCAGGAGGCAGGCCCAGGAGGTGGGGCAGAAGAGACCAGGGCATCTCCGTGTTGGGGGCTGGCGATCCCTGAGCCCCACTGGAGGTCCCCTGCATGGGAGTCCCATGGAAGAGGGTGCTCATGACCAGGCTGGCAGCCAGGCCCATTGGCAGGAGACCTGGTGGATAAGTGTGGGAACACAGTTCGAGAGACCCGGCTTCATATTCAGGCTCTATCCCGGTGACAGCTGTGTCCTTTGGTGAGCAACTTCTCTTGTGCCTTTGGTTGTTCATCTGTAAAATGGGAACAGTGGCAGTGTCCCCCACCCAGGGGCTGGGCAGTTTAAGGATTCGGTGGAGGCACGGCCTCCAGCTACGTGAGTGCTCAGTGCAGTTGAGCGTCTCAGCTCTGCCGTTTATCCAGCCATTGCTGGCACAAGCCACAGCATCTGAAGGGCAAGGCCAACGGTGCTTGGGCCGCGGCTCCAGGAGCGGGGCAGAGTGCCTCATGTGCGTGTGTTATCTGGATTCTGACCGCAGCCCTCGAGAGCGGCCTCAGCTTTCAGGCAGCGATGCCGAGACTTGGCGAAGGGACTCGGCTGCTCCAAAGCCACACGATGCGGTGGCCCCTGCCTGCTTTGTGGCTTGTTCAGCTGCGGGTTTGATGATGAGGGGTGACCAGGGCTGAGCGAGAGCACAGTTGCCTGTGGTCCGCTGGAGGGGACAGAGGATCCCGGAGGGCTGCGGCCTGTGGTGCCGCCCCTCACTCCCTGCCCTTCCCCCGTGGCTCTGAGTGCCGCTTCATCACAGCCTGTTGCAGGTTATAAACGGATATTTGTACTGAGCCTTATTTTTTTTTGGTGCCACTTGGCACTGTGTTGGTATTTTTTAATTAGCTTTTGATAAGGCATTTATAGATTTTAATTAAAGGGGGAAGAAGGAGGGAAAAAATCCCCCTCCCGTCAGACAGACCATGCACGTGAGTGTAAACACGGCTCAGAGCTGCAGGGGTTTCCACGAGGGGCTCTGGAGGGGCCACCACCCTCTGGCTGCCCCCAGATCCCGTGGGCCCTACAGTGCCCCACCCCAGCCCTCCCTGCCCCGGTAGGCTGCCTTGGGCCCCTCCGCCTTGGCTCCCGACGCTCAGTTAGGACCCTGGGGAGGGAGGTGTCGCAGCTGCCCTGACCAGGAGCTGCAGAGGCTTAGAGGAGCACCCACCTGCTGAGCTGGAAGTCTGGTCAAGGTGTCTGGTGGGCCCTGCCCCTGCAAAGGTCTCGGAGGTATGGGTTCCAGGCCACTCTCCCAGCTTCTGAAAGTCCCCTGCTGTGGCTACACCGTGCCCATCTCCACCTGCTTCCTGCCTGCGTGCCCCTGTGTCCCGTTGTCCTTTTTCATAAGGACGCCTGGTATGTTGGGTTAGGCCCGCCTGTCTCTTCTGCAACCTCATCGTAGCTAATTACGTCTGCAGTGGCCCTGTCTCCAAATAAGGTCACATCCTTAGTCTTGGGGGTTAGGACTTCAACACATGGATTTTGGGGGGACACAATTCAACTCATAATGGGGGTTTGAGTCTTAGCCTGGGGTTGGAGCCTGGTTGTTTGTCAAACCCGGAAGAGCCATTAGGGACGTTATTACCCCAGGCCCTCCTTGTCTGGATGGGAAAAGACCATTCAGAGTCCCGGCTGAGCAGAGACCAGACTCCCCAGAGATTCTGCCTCCCAGGCGAGAGTCCTCTCCAGACCCGAGGGGCGTTGGCTGTTCTGAGCAGAACTGAAGTGATGAGGCCCAGAGGAGAGGGCTGAGAAGTCCCGCTGGCTTTCCGACCTTACAAATGTTGGCCACCTAACATTTGCTGAGCCCTGCTGTGCTTCGGGACACAGCCAAGTGCTGCTTCCTGCCTCCCGGTGTTGTGGTCTGTGGAGGGAGCAAGCAGCCCGCCGGTCTGCCTTGTGCTGGGGGTGCTGAGGGAGGGGTGGGGTGCCACCTGGGAGCAGACCCCCTAAGCATGAGGCAGGGAGGAATGCAGAGGCCTCCCCTCAGGGGGCTGCTGAGCTGGGTCCCAGGCAGCAGGGGCGAGTCAGGGATGGCGCTCCTGGCAGAGAGGGCACGTGTTCTCTGGGTGTTTGGCCTGCCTGTGGGAGAGGTCTTCCTTGCCCGTCCGTCCGTCCTGCTGTGGTGTCCTGCCCAGGTGGCCTGGGCAAGGTCTGCTGCGTAGCATGGGGTGGGGACACTCCTCCCTGTCACCTTCTAGCTGGGCTGCATGTGGCTGGGCCTGGGATCGTCCACCTGGCCCATGACCAACTGGAGCTGGCATCAGCCTTGCCCTTCCCCAAGGCCGCAGATACCCCTTGGGGACCCCCCCCAGTGGGGTGGGACTCAGAGTGCTCCTGGGTCAGCCCCTTAGGCGCTGTGCTCCTCAGAACACATCTCCCATGGCCCTGAGAAAGTGGGGCTTGAGAAGAATGCAGACCTTTATTTGCATCTTGGGCCAGGCTAGGGGAGCCATGTGGACATTTGTAGGTACACGTTTACTGTTTCTGGCCCACACGTTAGCTCAGTCCAGACTCACCAAGCAGAGCAGGCAAAACCAACCTGGGTATCGGCTTAGTCCTGGAGAGTCTGCAGAGCCAGCAGTTGAGATGACTTGGGAAGATTCCAGGTTGACCAGGACATGAGGAGGCGTGGGCTGGTGACAGAGCTGGGGGGCTTTGGAGTCCAGCCTAGCAGACGGTCAGGGAAACTGAGGCCAGGAGCTGTGTGGCCATGGCAGTCTGCTGCCCGCAGAAGGCCCTGCTCCTCTTCATTGGCTCGTTCACTCACTTAACAAGCGTGTCCTGAGTGCCCATCAGTGCCACACCAAGCGGGGTGCTGGAGCAGAGCCGTGTCCCCACAGGTCCTGTGTGCACAGAGCTGCCGGGGCCCCCACTTCTGAGAGGCACGGGAAATCCCCAGGCCTTGGGCCAGGCTGTGGGGACGTCCCTGGTTGGAAGCTGAGCGTGTGGGTCGGGGCTCCCCTGAGGTGGCAGATGATGTCCGGGATAAGGAGAAGGGCTGGGGAGTCAGGCTGCCTGGGTCATGGTCCAGCTGTGAGGGATCGGGCCTGTCGCCTCTGAGCCTAGCTCCACCCGTGGTGTGGGGACACGGGCAGCCCCACCCCGCAGAGCGGCTGCGAAGTCCGACAACGTGCCGGAGTGCGGTGGTGCACGCAGACCCCTTCCTCGCTGCCGCCGTGTTACTTCTTGTTACCCTCCAGGCGGGGCTGCCCGGGCTCCTCTCAGCCTGGACGACTTTCACTCTGTCCTGTCTCGGGCTCTGGCTAGATCTGGACCCCTCAGGGATTCTAGCAGGGCCCTGTCCCTGCGGGCTGGGGGAGGAGGGCTGCCAGCCTCCTGAAGGTGCCTTTGCTGAGACAGGGCCTTCATCTCCCTTCGCGTGGCTGTGAGAGCTGGAGGTGGCCCAGATGAATGGGCTGTCATGCAGGGGGCGGGCGTGTGTGAGTGCGTGTTCCGGAACATGTGTGTGCTTACCCACAGCCAGGAAGGCTAAGCTGAGGGGGTGGGCAGGATGGAGCACCGCCACCCAGACCTCACGGCGATCGCCTCTACAGTGCTGCGTGCTGCAGTCTTGGTGTGTGGGGGTTGCGGGGAACCTCAGGGCACAAAGTCCTGTCCCCTCATGGGGCAGAGGGGAAAACTGAGTCCCAGCAGGGGGAACCCTCTCTCTCGGGGTCCCACGTGGCCCTCCACCTGAGCACTCCTGCCTCGCGTCCTTTCTGAGCTAACAGTACCCTATGAATCAATCTGATCACAGCTGCCACTCCGCCCTGGAGCCAGGACTTACAGAGGGCTCCTGAGAGCCAGCGGTGGGACAAGAGTGCCCCATGTGTCCTCAGGGCTCTCTAACCCCAGCCCCACCCAGCAGCCACCGTGAAACTCTGTTCTAGGGCTCCGTGGCCCTCACTGCCGTGCCCATGGGTAGAGCCCCCAGTTTCCATTTCTGGGGGGTGATCCCAGCCCCCATCCTAGTCAGTGGCAGAAGGCCCAGCTGCTGGCCACACTACCACTTTTGGCCACTGGGGGGTGCTCAAAGCCTTGCATTTCCTCTGCTCCAGTGTCTGGTGGGGTCAGCATCCCTGCTAGAGCCTGGCTGCCTTCGTTCCTCACCCTGCCTGGGCACCTTCCCCAGGAGACTGGACAAAAATCAGACAAGGCCGAGTTCAAATCCCGCTCAGCCTCGTCACCCACTCCCGTGGCTTTGCAGGAGTCCTCAGCTCACCTTACTTAAGTGGGGTCCGCACCGCTTCCACAGCCTGCTGAGTCGTGTCAAAGGAGGTAACCAGCAGGAGCCAGTGAGCAAGGACTGCTCGTCGGCTAGTGATTTGGGAAGCTGTTTAGACCCGCTGTGTCTCGGTTGTCTCGCTTATAAAGCAGGGATGAGAATAGCACCTGCCACGGGGCGTGGTGGGAGTCAGGGTGACAGTCACGGCAGGGCGCCCGGCCTGCGCATAGGTGGCAGTAGCAGCAGCCGTCGCTGCACCCTCAGCTTCCACCTGTGCGTGGCGCTGTGCTGACGTCCGCCGGGGCGGGGGCGTTTCTAGATGAAGGAACTGAGAGTCAGCAGTGACACCCCTGCCCGAGGTCACGCAGAAGTTCCGGGGCACAGACTTCCCGGCCCCGCCTGTCTCACAGGCTGGCAGAGCTCTGCGTGTTAGCAGGGAGTTCCTGCGACTTAACTGCTCTGATTTCTGTTAAGGTGACATATTTCTCCCACGAGTGTGAGATCCAGAGACAAGGAGGGAGTACGTGTGCCCTGACAGGGTCCTGAAGTCCGGGTCACACCCAGCATTAGCCCGCCTGGATCCTGAGGTCGTGTACTTGGTGTGCCCCGGGAGCTCTCGGTGGGAACCCGGAGCCTTCCCGCAGAGCGTCCGGTTTTACTGAGGAGCCATAGTCCAGCCCCCAGCTGTTCCCCAACTTCTCGAGTCTGCCGACTTTTATTTTTTTAAGAGGGATTTTTGCTACAGGGCACGTGTGCTCAGCAGAGAGACAGAACGTGAGAAATCACCCCTCCCCCACCCCACCCCCAGGGGAGACGGCCATGCCGCAGTTCCTTCTCTTCCATTCTCTCAGAATTTTGGGCATGCACGCACGTGCCTGGCATGAGTTTTAAGCTGCCAGGCCCAGGACTCGGATTATGTGGGAGTCCAGCCACATAACCATTATGCCGTCTGCTGGTCCCAAATCTGCTGATTTTAAGTAGAACAGAGAGCTCGAGGGAAGCCTGGTTTAGTGTGGACCAGGGTAGGAGAGGAGAGCTGAGCCGGCCTGGCCCGGTGCGTAGGGTGGGGAATCTGTCCTCACGTATCCTGGTGGCCCTCCAGTTTGGAGACAGCTGTGCCCCACGTGCCATCCAGCCGCTGGCTGGGAGAGGGGTGTCTGTGGCAGTCTGCTCTGTACACCCCCTGGGGGCTGTCAGGGGACGGGCGAGCCAGCAGGGCCTCTGAC